GCCCCCGGGAACTCTCCTCACCCAGTGCTTGTGCCTGGGCATCTGTACACACTTGACTTTAAACACAAATCCTTGTCACCAATTGTTGGTCTCCTGGCCACTCTGAAACATGCTATGTTAGCCTGGCCTTCCTCAAGCCTTCCCCCACGTCTGCCACACCCCTGAATATACAGCTTGTCCATCATGTGTAAGAACCAGGAGCTCAGATTTCATGTCAGGAAATCTGCTTAAATCCCAACTCCACATTGCTAGTGTGGTGTAGAGTGCTCCAGCCCTCTGTGGCTCGGGGTCCTTGCTTTTAAAGGGGTAATAATGTCTGCTTCATGTGATTTTTTAAATAAATCTTCTGAACCAGCTAGATTGATTCCAACACAATGTTGTCATAATGCCTAAAAAGTTTGGGTTAATGTTTTACCTTGTATATTCACTTTAAATTGTATAGATGTATTATTTAGTAGGTCTTTATATACGCACACATTTATATTCATATCTGTTAAGTAGAATCCACTTGAAATACTGGGTAATTCCACAATTTACACACCCCATTTTCTGATGGTTGTTATTGTAAGTAACAAACTGTCTCCCACTTAAATATATATTTTTTAAGAGAGGAAGGTAGAGGGAGAGAGAGAGGGAGAAACCTCAGTGATGAAAGAGAACCATTGATCAACTGCCTCTTGCACATCCTACACTGGGGATTGAGTAGACAACCAGGCCTGTGCCTAACTGGGAATCAAACTGTTGTTTGGTTCATGGGTTGATGCTCAACCACTGAGCTATGCCAGCCAGGCTGTCTTCCACTTTTGATTGAGGTTGATGGGGAAGGCTACCCACATATCATGTGGTGATCCACTAATCTAGCCCTTCAGCTCAGTACAAAAAGAATTGTGCGGGAAGACTTCCAACTTTTGTGGTTTTACCATCCTGCTCTGCTTCTGGGTTTTTACTGTGCCTTTTGTGAGCAGTACTTTCCCCTGAGGGCACATGTTAATAATCTGGAACCTTCCCTCTCAGTGGACTAGCACCATCTTGATGGTCCTGTGTTCTGCTTCTACCTTGCTAATTGTTTCCTTGGGATTATTTGGATTGTGTAGAAAGGTTTTTGCAAATCCTCTTATTACTGAAGTCATTGTTGCCAGCAGGAATAAGATTAAAGGTGCTTAAGTCTGTGGAGTTGTTTCTAATTTGTATGTGTCATTTCAGTGGCATTTTAACAGAACTCTGTCTCCTGTCCCTCCCTTCTCCCCTGGCACTATCTCAAGTTAGGTCCGAGAAGCCGGGCCATTGGAAGAAATCTCATTTTATCTTCCTAATTATTATGCTGGCACTCAGGAGATAATTTTTCCCTTCACGAACTGCCAATTAATATGCAAATGAACTGATAAATATTTATGCAACGATTTAAATTATGCAGGGAGGGCTCCCAGTGTATTCTGTAAATGAATTGTTCATGGACTTCAAAGTGCTGGCTGCTGTGCTAACGAGGAGAGATTTGCATAAGGCCCTAATCACCTGCATACTGATTAAGCTTCATTATGGAAACTGCCAGCTGCAATCTTTGTTTCTATTTTATTACAAAAAGGGGAACTTTTCATGCTTCAGTTGCCTTGACAATGTCAGTCCTAGCTGATAGGAAAGACTAAAACTCCTCCGAGCAACTGAAGTTTCCTTATTCAGTTGAAGATGGCCATGGTGTAACTGAAGTTGTAGTCTGCTTCTCCCCAGTCCACTTTCCACCTCCCACTCTAGTTCCCTTAGTTTTGCAAGAAATAGTAGTACCTGCTGACCCCACCCAATCCGTTACCTGTTTCTTTGCTGTGGACTGTGAGCCTAGAAGATTTCACAGCAATGCTGGACTGCAGTGACTTTATTTTAGGTGGGTACCAGCACAGCTCTTTCTTACAGCTTTATATGGAAATAGCGGGCGTGGGGTTGGCTATGCAGAAATGCTTAATCACTGATATGACCGTCTGGGGGAGAGGAGAGGCTGGTGCAATAGGGAAGGTGGGGGAGTACGTATTTGCAAAGCACCAGTACTTGAATTTGCTGCAGGTCCCTCCCTACTTCTAGCTCTTCTGGTTCAGAGGATACTTTCAGTAAACAGTATGGATTTTGAGTTCAACTTGAATGGAGGACATTTTTGCTTTTTTTTTTTTTTTTTTTAAATTTTCTATTGAGAGCATGTCATGTAGTTCTAAAGACACTCTGGATCAGAAACAAGGTCTGAAGTGTACCTAAATAATATGCATGTTAATAAAAATGTTTTTGCATACTTAGTTGAAATGTCTTGTAAAAAACAAAAGTGCTTAGTGCAAACCAGGTGGAGCCACAGTGCAGAGCAGCTCCCAGGAGGACAGATTTGGGTAACTGCCCTGGTACTGCAGTTGGGCTGTGGGTCAATTTCCAGATTTTAGAAACTGAAACTGCCAAATTTTGACAATATTAGCCTTTTTATTTTAAAAATTTAGCTTCTCTTCCTCAGAAAACAGTCATAAGTACTGGAAAGCCTATTTTTAGAGTTTTAGAGTTATCCCTATATAGAGCAACAAGCCTTTAGAGAGGGGCTTTCTGGCTTGCATATATAAGTTATGTCTTTGGTGACGACGATTTAAAACAGATGGTTTTTAGACTTACTGTGGATGCTCGTGGTGGCCATACTTTGTGTTGAGCTTTGTCTGCTTGTGTGCAAAATTGTGGAAACCTCTTTGGGTTACTCTGGTCCCCTGGAGAGTCAGATGATGGGAACTCCCTGACTCATATATCTTACAAATCTTTGCAAATGATTTTTTTTTTCCTGTTTGCCATTTTTCCCATTTGGAAAATCCAGGCTGCCCCATCATCTTCACAGTTGCCAGGGTTAGAATACAATGATAGTTCTGAAAATGTTTGAATTCGTAGGTAGACAGAAGGCATGGCCTGAACCCAGGATAGTAGTGTTGTCTGCACAGACCGTAAAAGCCACCATTAACCACGTGAATGACTGAACCAGCAAACTGAATGCAAGAATTCACCAAGAGCAACTTGCAGAATGTGAATTAGACTCATTATACAGTCACCTCAGGGTACCCAGGAAAGAGCACTCCAAATATCAAAAAGGAAATTACTTATTTCAGCTTACATTTACTAAGTTGGGAACTCAAGAAAGAAAAAAATATATATTTTTTTGAAATATTTTTAGCTTATTTTAGAATAAGAAATTATTTCTATTATTTTTAGTTAATAAATATTTAAACGGTCTTCCCATAGTTGTACCATTAATCAAAATTTTTATTTATTTTGCGTGAAGTAATTTGTTAAATGTCTTTGAAGTTCTTGACAATTCAATAGAAAATCGTTAGAATATTCACATAGAGTACCTGTGACATAATTTTTAATTTATGGGTGGGAAAATTAGGATATGACTGGTACAAGGTTGAGCTATGACTTATTAAGAATTGTGCCTTCTTTGTTTTTATGATAGGTAGAAAATTACCTTTTAAAAATGAATGTTAACTGGTTCATTATCTTTCCCCGTTTCCTTTTAAAATACACGTGTTACACGTGGGGTCTTCGTTGGCTTTCATAAGATTTTTGTTAAGTCATTCAGAAAGCTGATTTTCACGGAGTTGTACACCTGTTTCTTTCAAACCTTAGCGTGCTTTCAGATGGCATTTACATTTTTCTGGACAGGGTGGGATAGGAAGTTGTAGAACAATTCTTATTTATGACCAAAGGCATAAGAATCTGAATCCTTTGAACTTCTGAAGAACAAACTGAAGACATGAAAGACCTGTCTGTATAGGCACATTAGACAGGCACGTGTTTAAAAAACTGTGTTAGAATGGCTGGTTCCCAGCTTCTTGAGTTGGAAGTGAAATGAATGAAGCTCTCTCATCCCTTGTGCATGTACATAATGACACTGTGGCAACGTGGTTGGGGCTCTAGTGATTGGTTTGATTTCCTATTTAAATATTTAAGCATGTGACAAAATGTACTCTTTGGTTAAAAAAAAAATCAAATATAATATAGTTAAAGTGTTTATTCTCTACTAACCAGTAGTTAAATGTTCTTAACCTGGTGGGGAAAAGGCAGAACTTGCTTGATAATAAACTTACTTAATTTGTAAATATGCTAAGTTTGAGTTTGTAGAATTAGAATAAGGTCTATATTTAATTTAATGTATATTTAGTTTTCACACTTCTGAAGAAGTCAAAGGAAAGCAGACTTGCTCTTGTCCCACCTGTTGCATGTCTCCTGGGATACCTAACATTGCTCGATGAAAACTTTTCACCGTGACATCTTCATTAAAAAAATAACCCTAAAGGTATGAGCCACAGAAGTGGGTTCATTTGGGGTGTCAAGGCAGCATAATTCATAAGTGGGTGTGGTTGTGAGTCAGTCTTGACATCATTAGGTGTATCTGTTATGTCTGTGGTAACTCCTTGTGTTGGCTTATGATTGAGATGTGAACTCAACATATCACTTTGACATATGCTTTGTTTCTTGGGGGAAGGAGTAAATTTGGAGATATTTTTCTTAGATATGCTTTGTACCATTTTTTTTTAGTTACTATCCAGTCTGTTGTCAAGGTTATAAGTGGGTTTTTGGTCATAATTAACAAATATCTCTACTTATGGGAAAAGAAACTTCGTTGGCCACTAACATGTTTTCCTTGGTGAGGTGCTTCCCCAACTTTGTTTCTTTCACACTTTATGCTTCATATTACAAAGCATTTACACCCTTTTCATATCAGACCCTATTATTACTTTTTAGGTTAGATTTCTGCTATCTTTCTTGGAAGAATCTTAAAATTTATTAGAAAGACACATTTGTGGATTACTTCAAGGTTGATGGACTCTTGAATTTCTTTCAGATAAACTTTTATTGCAATTTCCAACATTTTAGCATTGATGCAGTCTTTTCACACTACAGGGCTGTGACATTAGGCAATAATCTTAGGTGTCCCCCCCCCCCCCCCCCCCCCAGTTTTTTAAACTTCATTCATCTCTGATTTATTGCAGACTCAAGAATGAACAACCCGCCAGAAAATGGTAAACCGTCCATGGAGAGTGGAGACAGCAGCACGGGTAAGACACCCTTCTGGGACTGTGCCTTTTCATTCGACTTAGCAGAGATAAAAGAGGAAGTTTTCCATTTAACCGCGACTCATATGGGCAAACGAAGACCGGTTTGAGTGTTGAGCCATGAAATGTAATTTAGTACTGCAGAAATGGGGGTGTCTTTGCTTCAGATATCCGACTTCTCCTGCATGTGGCTTGTCTTTTTGCTGCCGTTTGTCAGCAAAGCTACAGAGCAGCTCGGAGCATTGTACTTTGGGCGCTGTAGTTCTGGTTATGAATTATGGATTTGCCACTTACTAGCTTTGTGATGTCAGACAGTTTCCCTCATCTTTTGAGACCCAACCAAAAGGAGAGATTATATATTCCAGAGGTCATTGTGAACACTAAAGAGGAAGTGTTAAGCACAGTGCAGGCCACACACTCAGTAGAAAGTTGCTCTTGTTACAGGTGTTAACAACATAGTAAATAGAAACTATGTTAAAGTTATGATAGTGTCTGAGCATAGTTAAAAACACACACCTGTTCTTAGTACATCCTTTTATTTGATGATTTTAAAAAATACACTTGGTTAAACTTCTGTCAGGAGAAAATCTACATATATAAAAGCCAAGTGACCGGAACGATCTGTTGCGATGATGTGCACTGCAGCCGGCCAACCTCCCGCCAGCCCTGCCCTGATTGGTCCCCATCGGGTGGGCCAGGTTCTTCACTAGCAAGGACTTGCCTCTCTGTGACCGCCATTTAAAGTGCCTACTGCCCTAGCCGGTTTGGCTCAGTGGCTAGAATGTCGGTCTGTGGACTGAAGGCCCCTGGGTTCAATTCTGGTCAAGGGCACTTGCCCAGGTTGCAGGCTCGATCCCCGTTGGGGGACATGCAGGAGCAGCCGATCAATGATTCTTTCTCATAATTCTTTCTCATAATTGATCTTTCTATCTCCCTCTCACTTCCTCTCTGAAGTAAATAAAAATATTTTTTAAAAAGTGCTTTGCTCTGGAGACAGTAAGAATGTGAGTCACTCTTGGGTACTGTTTTCCTCTCACTGACCTCACAGCCTTTTCACTTGAAGCAGATGAATTGAACCAATATGGCAGCGTCCTCACTACACAGCTTTCATTTTAAACTGTCCTGAGCCTGAGGGTCCTTGTTAATCTTCCAGTCTCTGAAGTACACCTGCCCCTCCAGGTGACACTGCGCTTTGGGCTCCCTGATGTGTTAACATATCTCGCCAGTGACTCCCCGAGGCCAGCTGTGCTGGCTGCTGTGCACTCCTGAGAGTGGAAGGGCAGATTCGACTGTCTGAACTGTTGGCGGTGCCTCCTCTCTGTCGTCTTCTGTCCCATTTGGGCCCCATCTTTCATTATCTTGTAGCACTGGTGTCTGGCAGTGCAGGTGGGTTGGCACCCAGCCTAGGAGTGGGGCTTGATTACAGAGAAACAGGGCGGTGGGTCCCATTCAGATACTTGGGAAGGGAGCAGGGCACGGTGCCTGCAGATCACCTGCGCAGAGGAGGCATGTTCCAAGGGAAGAGAAACTCGCAGAATGACAAGAGCACTGGAGGCAGGCACTGTGCCCCTTACTGCCAGACCCCTGGGGACCCAGCACGGTAACAGCCGTGTCAGGACCTACTGTGCCCTGAACACCTTTAATGCTCGGTATGACTCCTGCTCGGGGCGCTGTGTGCATTATCTGACTGCAGTTTGAATCCTCACCCGAGGATATTTTCCATTTGTTAATCCTCACCGAGGATATTTTCCATTGATTTTTAGAGAAAGTGGAAGGGCTGGAGAGAGACACAGAGAAACGCCAATGTGAGAGAGAGACATTGATTGGTTGTCTCCCACATGTTCCCCACCAGGTCCAGGGATCGAGCCTGCAACTGAGGTACGTGCCCTTGACCAGACTCGAACCTGGGGCCCTTCAATCCACAGGCCAAGGCTCTATCTATCCACTGAGCCAGATCAGCTAGGGCCAGTTTGAGTTCTTAATGCCAGCCCTGCAAGCTAGGTATTACAATTGTCTTAAGAGATCGGAAATTGGGAAATTGAGGCACAAAGACAGCCAGGAAATAAAGGCAGGATTACACCTTCCTATGGTTTCTCTGCAATAAAATAAAACTGCAAATTCTAGTTGGAGCACCTACTGAAACTGGCTCATTAATTCCTCTTTCTGTTTTCACATGAAATGTATGGTGGAGTCACACCCCCATAAGAAATTTATCTTATGGAAAACGTGTATGAAAATGTACGAGAAGATTCCTAAGAAGTATGCATGAGTTCAGTGTAGGGAGAAGTGGTTTCTAGCTGGGAGGTTCAGTAAGGCTCTGGAGGTGGTGGAGGGTAAACCGACGCTTGGAAGCTGGCTGGGATTTTAACTCGGTGGGGGGTAATGAACGTTCCACATGAAGAACTGTCAGTGAAGGCTCAGCTGGGAGGAAGAAACCCACCCTGATGGTCTCCAGTTCCTCCAGTTTCCCACCAGGTCATGCGATGGCCTCCTGGTCTCAGCATGAGACCATCCCAGTCCTTCCTCAGGGTAGCCATTCCCACTACCATCAATTTACCAGTATTATTTTTGGAAACATCATTGGCTTATTATTTTTATTATTTTTTTAAATACCATTGGTATTTTTTAAAATATATTTTATTGATTTTTTACAGAGAGGAAGAGAGAGATATAGAGAGTTAGAAACATCTATGAGAGAGAATCATCGATCAGCTGCCTCTTGCCTATTGGGGATGTGCCCTCAACCAAGGGATATGCTATTGACCAGAATCGAACCTAGGACCTTTCAGTTCGCAGGCCGACGCTCTATCCCCTGAACCAAACCAGTTTCCGCTATTATTTTTATTATTAATGAAGGTAAAAAATGACATTACATTTTAAATATAAAATGTTACTTTTTCTGACGTTTAATTGTTTTGAAATATTAAAGCTTATTTTAAAATAACTGATTCACCTTTTGATTCATTCAGTTTGTGGTGGATGAAATGGAAGCTTTTGTCCACCGGAATCATGATGGATAATGAGGATCTCATATCCCCTCCCTAGGCACTTGATTTTTCATTTAAATGATTGTCCCCCAGGATAATATTAGGATCTTTCTGGCAACAGAAATGGCCAAAGAAATTTATTAATTCAACCTAATATATGTTTATATCTTACACTCCAAAATTAGTATTGCCAGAAGTTCCTAGCAGCCAGTGATGTGCTGTCTGTGGGATTTATCAGTGCTGGGTCAGACATCATTTTCTCCAGGTGAGAGAAGGGTCATGAAAGCCCGGGGGGCCAGTGAGCACTCCTGCTGTTCTTCATGGAACCGAGGACCTGAGGTTCCCCCCTTGTAGAACATTTCCAGGTAGAATCCCTGCATTTCCAGGAGATACCTCAGAAACCCGCTGAGGAACTTCTCATCAAAGCAGTGGAGCAGGTGCCATTTCAGACTCAGAAGGACTGTTTAACCTTCAAACTTGTGTTGATCCAAGGATTATTTCTAATGTTCTCTTGCTTTTAGTATAGTCCTGATTTTTACATTTATTGCATACTACGCTGTGTGGACCACACTGTGCTGGCCTAAGTGTTCGGACAAGCCCGAGGGGTGAAATGCCAACACAGAGTTTTCTTGGAGTTCCTCTGAGGGAAGTGAAGTAGTGGGTGGTTCCAGGGCCCATGGAGCACTTCTGGGGAGAGCCCTGGGAGCACAGAGGACCACAGGTCACTCTCTTCCCGGTGGGCTGGCAGATGTCAGCCAGGGGTGTGGCCTCTCCGAGGTTCTCAGCACTGCCTGCCTGCCCATTGGTGCATGTGGGGTTTTTTTTAGGTGTTCAGGGCAGGCTATAATTGTTAAATATATGAGAATACTAAGTGACACTTGAATTGAGATTATACTTTTGATAAATGAATAAGTCAGTAATTGATCCTTTCACCAAGAGATGACCCGAGCTCACATTTAGAATTTTTAAGATAGTACCCACTTCATTTTAAATTTAAAGGCTGCCTTACAGTGAGATTGTCTGTACACCCCCCCCCCCCCCCCCCCCCCCGCCCCCATCCTCCCTGCTTTAGGATGGCAGCTTTGGCAGCTTTTTCTTTTCTTTTCTTTTTTTCTGACAAGTATAAAAGAATTTTCCAGCCATGTTATACTTTACCTGTTGCTTAACATACAAATACTGGACTTCACTAATCTCTCAGGTCCACCGTATAGCATCCTGGCTTAGAGCCATGGCAGTGGAAGCTAGAGGTCATGTTTAAAGAGCATAGAGGGGTGATTGACGGGGAGGGGTAGGAAAGAAAGAGGAAAAGGGGTGATGTAAAATGAATCCCTGCCTTTGCTTCTGGACCAGGCAGGAGGTAGTGCCTGCAGCCTGTTCTCTTGAGTAGGGATTGCCTGAGTGGGAGGAGACTCACCAAGGAAGTGGCTTGCAGGTTAAGACATGATCAATTGGAGGTGGTGGTGTTCCTGAGGAAAGACGTCTGTCTGGGCTGCATTGGTGGTTGTGGTCTTCTGTGGGGGTAGGCTGCTGGGAAGAGCAGAGTAAGGAACAAGGACAGAGCTCTTCTGCAAGGTTGCAGGGCCCAGTCAGGAGCCCTGCAGTGCCTGCACTGACCAGTAGGAGGCCACAAAATTCAGTCATGCCTGCCACACTGCTAGTGCTCAGTAGCCACCTGTGGTTAGTGGCTTCCATACTGGTTAGCACATCCATACACTTTCATCATCACAGAAATTTCCATTGGACAGAACTGAGGTAGACACAGAGATCAGAGTGAAGCCAGCAGTGAGTTTATGGCCTTAGTATTCAGGGTATTCAGGTCTGCAGAGAAGTCAGGACACAGAAGCTTAAAATGTGACTGGTGGGTTTGAGAGTTAGTAGTTATGGAGACCTTTGAAAGGGTTAGGCAAGTGGTAGGAAAAGAAATAGCTGTGGCCGAAACCGGTTTGGCTCAGTGGATAGAGCGTCGGCTTGCGGACTGAAAGGTCCCAGGTTCGATTCCGGTCAAGGGCATGTGCC